AGCTCAGCGTCTACTTGACGAGTCTTCTTTGATTGAGGCACTTTGTATACTGTCGGAGCTGCTCGGCCACCAATCTCTTTTGCAGCGTACTCATTCCAGAAAGAAAGGGATTGGTCCTTACCGAAAGGGATTGATCCTTACCGAAAGCTTCGCCTGTTGCAATGCCCGTTGACCCTTGCTTCGGACACCAGCAAGCTCGCAGTTCGTCCCTTATTGAGCCAGAATACTACGGCAGATTTTCCTCGCTCGACGGATACGAAGTGGTGCTTGGATAACTTAAAGACTTCAGAACTGCAGGAAAATGAGGCTATTCATGTTATGGATGTGATTCATGTGATTTTGAAGCATGATTTGGACATCGTTTTTCGATCGACCGTGGACCATTTTCAAGTCGCCCTTGAACTCAAGGAGGACAACATACCACATCCGCAGAACGACACACATACAGGGGGGGGCAAAAAAAGTCACTTTTCTTCCTTGACTTTCGAGGCGCTATAAGTTACACTTTATCAAATTCTGATCGGACATTTCTACCACCATATTAAAGAGCATATTAAATACTATCATGACACTCCGCCACAGCCTTCTGGAGGAGCGCCATCGAGAGATTCTGCCACGCGACCGTGAATGGGTACCTGAGTTCAGCGATACCAGCCGGCGCGCTTTTTCTGAGATACAGCACGGCTTCGCCGGGCGGGCGCGGCTCCACCGCGCTTATCTTTTTCCACACATTTCAATACCCGCCTAGTATTCGGCTTTTCTTTCATCTGAACGGATGATCAACATTATTATTACGGTGCATGAAATGGTGGAAAGGAGCGTTGATCAAGTGAACAGATGAGAGGAACGCCGGGTATTCGTCCAGCATTTGACCTACGAATGGAGGCACGCCCGCAAGGCCGGCTGTATCACAGAGGAGGTCTGGAGTGCCTGGAGTGCTCTGGAACCGCTTGAGGAATTTCTAACACTGGCCCCGCTCTCCTCAATGCACGCTCCGCCCACAACGTATCCGGAGTGCTGTGGAAGCGTTTTGCGAATTTTTCAAAATTGGCTCCACCCCCTCGGGGCACGCTCCGCCCACAACGTATGCCTCGCGCTTCTCAACTAATAACCCCTCGCTGATCTTAAACTACTTTTTCCCGGTGTCTGGAGTGCTCTGGAACCGTTTTGCGAATTTTTTAAATTTGGCTCCACCCACCTCGGGGCACGCCCCGCCCACAACGTATGCCCCGCGCTTCTCAACTAATAACCCCTCCTTAAACTACTTTTTCCCGGTGTCTGGAGTGCTCTGGAACCGTTTTGCGAATTCTTCCCGAATTTGGCTCCGCCCACCTCGGTGCAGGCTCCGCCCACAACGGTGCCTCGCACATCCTTACATTTGATCACTTGGGGACCATAATCCACATTTTGGCACCTTCTGCAGTGCTTTAGGACCAAACTACGACTTTTTATACTGTTCCTCGTGCAAATGCACGCCCCGCCCACTGTAGGCGGGCCTCAGCACGCCGTAAACATGGTGGACTCTTGCCAGACGTTAATCTTCGTCATGGACTTTTCTGCGATCCCTAAACATTTTCGGGGACCGAGTTACCGACCTTTGTGGGAAGCGCCGCCCATCTCAAGTACGCCCCGCCCATTTCGGGTGTCTCCTCCTCCATTTGGCGTGCCAACCCAGTGCTAACCTAATTCCACTTTTTCAGTCTCCGAACTGCTTTGTAGCCAAGTTATGGGGATTTTTCAGTGACACGGGAAGCGCCGCCCATCTCAAGTACGCCCCGCCCATTTCAAGTGTATCTCCTCTGTTTGGTCACGAGGCCTCTAACTCCTTCTGTTAGGTTCGTTCATGCTTTTTAACTTGACTGCACGTCCTCATTCTCCAGACTGCTCTGGAACGAGTTATGACTTTTTTCAGTGACATCGCTAAATTTGGACGCACGCCCCGCCCACTGTGGGCGGGGCTTACCATGGGTCATGGGTGCTATTCAGGTTTTGTCCCATGCTCTCTATCCATCCCACCCTGACGACCTCTCCAAGCTTTCTTCACTGCTATCGACTTTCGCTGACAAAGTAACAGTCAGACAGACAGACAGCAGCAGACACACAGACTGAATGCCCGAATTATACTTAGGTAGGATAGATTGAATCCGCCACCCTGTTGAGCTCCGCCCGAACTGGGTAATTGAGGGAGTTTAGGTCAGGTGACCTACTTAGATATTCCATCTTCTTCAGGTACTCACCTTCCTTCCATTCCAAGTGAGGCGAGTGTTTTTCCAATGCCCTTCGAATCCACGTGGTATCGCCCAATCCTGTAGCAGTACAAATTTCCAAGAAGAGTACGCGGTGACGACATGTAGTGAGCGATATTTCTTCCAGTTGCTCGATGTATATTGCCAGCTCAGCCTTTCCAGGTCTGGGTTCACGAAGAAAATATCGGTCTTTCCATTCCAGGTACTCAGGTCCATACCATCAACCCGCGCCTTGGCGACTGCGGTGAAGATGATGTCCCAGGCCGTGAGCGCGCGTTAGATGTCAGGGCTGTCTATGTGGAGTCTATCACCAGATCGGAGCAGTACTTGCTCTCCAGTACCGCTATCCATGGGTGACTCCATACTAGAAGTTTCGTAGCTGTTTGGAGGTGACATGAATTCCAAAGGTCTTCTCCAGTCAGGCTGCGACTGGAGATGACTTCATATTTTGGTGTGCGTGTGCATGAAGGTGATGGGCGCCAGCTTCTTCGACCGGAAAAGCTGCTGCTTCGTTTCGCCTGCGCGCTCTTCAGGAAAGGCCTAAAAAAACGATCTTGAAAAGAAAATCCTTCTTGAGAATGACTTCGTTTTGCGACCTCTATGGGGGAGCTCACTTGCAACGTTGACCAGTTCTGGGGTCCTGTATCCTACATTCTATAAACCACCAATCTCTGCTGTGTCCGTTTGTCGTAGTGTAGTATGTCTGATACCGTCCATCAAAAATGCCCTCTACAGGTTCGAATTCGCTTGCGAGACAGAAAACGAACAACGCTAGCCAAGACAGACCAAATCGGCTGCGGAAGTCATTAAAAATCCAATGTGCATTGATCCGTGATATCGCTCCCGCCTGATATAAGACAAACCAATCGGTGCACTCCGAAGCAAATAGCACAGACAAGAGCTGCGATAAGCAGCCTGGACGTGATGCTCGTGCGGTGTGCGGGGTGGGTGGGGGAGCGGGAGGCAGCTGGGCGCGCCCCCCCCCTCTGCTTCCTTCCCGCGCGTCGCTCAGCCCGATTCGACACTGCCAATAGAAGCAAGCCAGAGTGACGGTACCGCCCCACTGGAACACTGCCGGGCGTTTTTCAAGTATCCATATAGCTTGTTGGCACAGGAATATGTCCGCGGTGACAACAACTGCCATGCCGCCATGATAAAGGGAAGTTAGAATGCGAAAGGGACAACATACTAACTAAGCCGTCAGTACACAGCATCAGTTACGCTTGATTTCAGCCAGAATGATATCAAGGGGACATGTGAAATGTGACGACGCGGGGTGGCCAAAGAATATGAAAACAAGCCTGATAGGGCCTGATAGAGAACGATGCAGTTGTTGTTCAATCAAACGCTGAAGCCTCTACACCACGAAATTATGGAGTTTTAGTGATAGCGACATTGATGACGAGTGACAAGCAATTTTATCAATTGCATAAAGTTAAAGATAAGGGGACATTTTCATGACATCTCTGACCACTACACTGCCAAAAAACCTCTCAGTAAGCGAAATTTTCCCACAGCCATCACTCCTCTGATAGCACTAGAAAATGTACTCATCCCACTAGGGGGGGGGTATATACTTCGCCTGAAACAGGAAGTTTGGAGAAATCAAAAACTCCAATATTGGAACACACTTTATGCGTTCAGTGAGTACTTAAATATCTTACTTGGCCTTTTGCCTTCTCAACATCAAATCACTGATGAGAACGAATAACGAAGTAGTTTGTAAGATATTCAATGAACGCTGCCTAAATATTGTCATCTGCAGCCATTCATGCAACCTTAGCAGGAGGTATTGAGTTTAATACAAGTTAATCCGCCCATCGTTCAGTGTTATGAATGCATGTAATAGAAACGCGAAATTTGTTCATCTACTTGTAATCATATATATGATATTGTACTTCCTATCTATTTCTGAGATCTACGTATAGAATGCGTTATGGCCGAAACCAGCACGCCTTCCGCAACTCTGAGAGGTGCAGATTTCGCTAGGTTACTCGTCTATTATGATTCGACCACTACCGCGCAATATGAGCAGCTCATACAATTAACTAATTCCATCCCGTTATGCATGTCGCCTGGCGAAGCCAGTACAGCTGCCGAACGCCGAGCCTAAACAGCAAGCGACGAGAGCTCGGCCGTATTAGGCCGCTGCCGATCCGACTCCGTACAGGGACTATTTGAATCTCGATGCCGAAAAACTCGTCGCAAATCAGCTCTCCAATGTGGCACGTGCTCAGCAGGTGAACCGTTACTTGCCAATGTGTTATTCTACAAATAATCCGGTAGCACCGGACAAAGTAAATGTTGATCCAAGAAAGACGCTAAAGATGATAAGCTCTCGGCAATCCAACCGATGTCGAAACAGCCAGGCTTTCTCATTCAAAAAACAGCAAAAAGGCCGGACTTAGTCCTTTACTCCTTCATTAATTCCTCTTGGCGACGCAGCAAACTCTGAATAAGCGTGGGAGGCGCTATTCATTGGTTGTTCGATTCCAGTCTTCGATCATTTTAACCTAGTCATCAAGTCTTAAGAAAGCGACTTATGGATGATGATAAGTGAATTGCAGATAGTCGAACTTGTGGTGCCGAACAGGCAAAGCAGCCTGAAGAATGCGGCTTCTGAGAGAACGCGTTGTCCGCTTATAGGTGGCCGGCTGAACATCGTCGTCCCATCGCACCCACCTCCTCATTGAATACTGAGTGGTATGCTACCTTGATGCGGATTGTTGGTCATGTAAATAAATGATGGAACGAATGTCATGTTTCAGAAATACTTTGATAGAATATGTATCGGCTAGCACGGATCTAGCTACATATCAAGCGTACGAGTTAGCTAAAAACCTTCTTCTCGTGAGTACTTTGCATCAATAAACACATTGCAGTTCAAAGAAAGAACATGCGGAAATGCATACCACATGCAACCACTAACTTTTGGGAAGGGGAAGGTACGAGCGTATCAAGTGGTCGAGGTTTTTTCGCACGGTTCCTCACGGAAAAACGCTCAGAGGTGGTGTGCCTTTGATTAGCCAAGGCAATGTGTCAGTCGCACTTTACCCTCCGTTTGTCGCTGCTTGAAGCCTGAATACCCGTTGCGAGCACCCATGTTTTTTGATCAGAGCGATATTCTGGAGAATTCTATTTGTCAAACTTGACAATGGAACATTAAAAGATGTCTTTAAAGAAGAAAGCACAACCATAAACAGTGTGATCATCTATCTACAAATGGTCAAAGTACCACGGTGCCGCCAAACCTGGAGTTGAAGCAGGGGATGAGAAGAAAATTGCCGAAAAGGTAGGTTAGACAGAAGATTTCAAGTCAGGTAGTCATGAATCAGACAGCCCTAAACAAAGTAAATGCATTGCAATTTCGTATCACTAGTCTCAGTGAATCCTATTTAGTTATATTTCAGTGGCACGATGATGGCACACAGGTGATTTATCTCGGCATCGGAGAGCCCGTGAACAAAACGAATATGGAGACGATTGCGAATGGGACGGATAATGTGATAGGTATACCTGACATCACAGAGGTCAGCCTACTGTTTGTACTCAAGCAGCTTCACACAAAACCAATTACTGCAATATTTCAGGCAAAAACTCCGCATGAAAATCGGCAAAGAAGTGAATCGAACGCTCGAACTACTGACGCCACCACCTGAGAGCGATGAGTCAACTTCGGAGGGTCCTGATACTATGAAAAAGACCACAGCGGTCGGAGGGACTTCGGAGAGCAGAGCTGATAAAGGATCCCCTCGTACGACAACAGGCCAAGGAGTGACGTTCCCAGAAGAAGTTACGCCACCGCCTATAGGTGAACCGTTGGAGAAGGGAAAAAGTACCACGAAGGACGTCTCGGAAGGCGGAACTGATGAAGGATCCCAAGGTGGGACAACAGGCAAACGTGTGACGTTCCCAGGAGAAAGCACAGAAAGTGGCACCACCAAACCGTCGGAGAAAGGAGCCACGGAGGACGACAGCCGCAAACGTAGCACAACGAAGGAAGGACCAGAAATTGGAAAGACACCATTCCCCTTGCCGCCAGACACGACATCTGTGAGATCATTTCAAATTTGTCTTGACCTTGACTCAAAATTCTTCCGGAAACATCTGTTCCGAAGCGGAGGTTTTTAGCATTTCTCAGTTGCGTAAACTTGCTCGATTTGATTACATAGTTAGGCCCAGGTGGAAGCATTACAATGTCATATCATCAGAAACTATTTCATGACAGAAAAACTTGTAAATAGCCGCTGTACATCCAGACATTGTTTCTAGAAGGGACAAAGTCAGTACCTGTGTCACTTCGGGACGCTTCATTCCGACGAAAGCATGACAGAACCGTGAAGATTTTATTCAAACTCTCCTCAGAATAGACTCAAGACAGCGCTCGCGAAAGCACTGCACGCGCTCGGCGCTCTCAGCCAATCATGTGGCGAAAGTGAAGTACTAATGAAGGAGCAACTCCTCGGCGCTCATGTAAATAAGATATTTCTGTATACGGGAGGAGACTTTCTGGGGATACACGCTTCATTCATTTCGCAACTTGGGGTAATTTGTCGCTGGCTCCTATGGCACACGCGCTACGCCGTTGCTTTACTAGCGCTCGCCATGTTCGTTGACCTTACATCAGGCTCGCTTAGTTAGTGTATTTTCCAGCGCTGTGTACACCCTTTGAAGTTCAATACAATGGACAAGGGTGAAGCAGGTTGAGTCAGAGCTAAGAATCAAAACACTCGCCGAGCCTATAACACCAGTGATGCCCAAAAAGTGATTAAGGATGTAAACTTAGATGTGCGAAGGTGGGAGCTAGCTTTATATAACCCTGAAAGTGGGCATACTCCTCGCCTTGTCAACAACAAACTCCACCATCTTGTGCACTGAAAAGTTTCTGCACATGGTTGATCGCGGGCGCTGCCTTTACATGTCTCGACGGATCCTTTGTATCGAAATTGTCAAAAGCATTTCCAAGATTCCGCCCATTACACTGAAAAGAAGATGGGGGGATGATTGATTTTGTAACGTTTTCCCGGAGTCAAAAGATTGCAAAAACGGAGGAGCAACCTAGCTGATTGCATTCCTAGGAGAGACATGGATCATGATAAATCCGCTCCCCTGGGCTCGCCACACCTTCCTCCCCCCAGAACTGCCAGATAGATCCGAACCTGTGGTCACCGGCGGAACAGCAAAAGGCTGAAGACATGCCGACTGAAACGGTTTCTTATAGGTTGTCGTGATCATCGTGCACTTGGCGCACCCATCCTCACCTTGAAACTGACGTGGACTACTTTGATGCGATCGGTCATTGTAAAGATAAGATTGAACCGACACTTAAACAAGTTTCAAAATACGTTTGATACAGAACTATGTATCACCAGGCTAGCACGCGATCTACTACATACTCACAGCTTACAGTTACGCTAAAAAAACACTTCTTCTCGTGATACATTCTGCACAATAAACCCACATTGCCACTCCTCACAAAGACAGAACATGCGGAAATGACATACCACATGCAACCACTAAACTTTGGAAGGAAGTATGCCGAGCGTATCAGTGTCGAGTTTTTTCGCACGTTCTGGAACGAAAGAACGGCTCAGAGTGCGGTGTGCTTTATTACCAAGCTCAATGTTTTCCAAGTCGCACTTTACCCTCCTTTGTCGACGCCTTGAGCCTGGAATACCGTCGCGACGCCACCCATGTTTATTTGATCAGAGCATATCTCTAAATTCTGTATTGTCCAAACCCTGACCACATGAAACAGTAAAAGAGTGTTAGAACAGAAGAAAGCAAACAATAAAAGTTGATCATCTATCTCAAATGTCAATATACACGTGCCGAAACCTGCCGAGTTGAATCAGCGGGACTTGCAGAAGAAAATTGCCAAAAAGGTGTTAGACAGAAGATTTCAAGTCAGGTAGTCATGAATCAGACAGCCCTAAACAAAGTAAATGCATTGCAATTTCGTATCACTAGTCTCAGTGAATCCTATTTAGTTATATTTCAGTGGCACGATGATGGCACACAGGTGATTTATCTCGCTGGAACGCCTGCTGTAACAAAACCGAATAATGGACGACGATTCCGAATAAGGACGGATAACTGTGATCTAGATATTACCTGACATCACAGAGGTCAGCCTACTGTTTGTACTCAAGCAGCTTCACAAACCAATTACTGATATTCAGGAGAAAACTCCGGATGAAATCGGCAAAGAAGTGAATCGAACGCTCGAACTACTGACGCCACCACCTGAGAGCGATGAGTCAACTTCGGAGGGTCCTGATACTATGAAAAAGACCACAGCGGTCGGAGGGACTTCGGAGAGCAGAGCTGATAAAGGATCCCCTCGTACGACAACAGGCCAAGGAGTGACGTTCCCAGAAGAAGTTACGCACCGACCTAGGTAAGTGAACGTGGAAAGGAAAAATGACCACAAGGACGTCCGAACGGAACTGATGGTAAATCCCAAGGGGGACAACAGCCAAACGTGCTGACGTTCCCAGCGAGAAATCACCCAGAAAAGTGCACCACCAAACCGTCGGAGAAAGGAGCCACGGAGGACGACAGCCGCAAACGTAGCACAACGAAGGAAGGACCAGAAATTGGAAAGACACCATTCCCCTTGCCGCCAGACACGACATCTGTGAGAACATTTAAATTCTTCCGGAAACATCTGTTCCGAAGCGGAGGTTTTTAGGGATTTTCAGTTGCTAAATTTGCTCGATTTGATTTAGTAGGGTGGAGCATTACATGTCTATCATAGAGAACTGATTTCATGACAGAAAAACTGTAAATAGCGGGTACACAGAATTGTTGTTCTAGGAAGGGACAAAGTCAGTTGTGTTCATTGTGGACGCTTCATCGCCTGCAGCGAAAGAAGGATGGAAGAACGTGAGTTTATTCAAACTCTTTCCAGAATAGCTCAAAGACAGCGCTCGCGATAGGCTGCACGGCTCGGAGTCATTAGATCATGTGGGAAGTGGAGTACTAATGAAGGAGGAACTCCCTCGGCGCTCATGTAAATAAGATATTTCTGTATACGGGAGGAGACTTTCTGGGGATACACGCTTCATTCATTTCGCAACTTGGGGTAATTTGTCGCTGGCGCCTATGGCGCACGCGCTACGCCGTTGCTTTACTAGCGCTCGCCATGTTCGTGATCCTTCATCAGGGTTAGTTAGTGTATTTTCCAGCGCTGTGTACACCCTTTGAAGTTCAATACAATGGATAAGGGTGAAGCAGGTTGAGTCAGAGCTAAGAATCAAACACTCGCCGAGCGCTATTAAAAGTGATGCCAAAAAGTGATTAAGGTGCAACTAGATTGCGAAGGTGGAGCTAGCTTATATAACCCGCGAAAGTGGGATATCCTCTGTGACTACAAACTCCACCATCTTGTGCACTGAAAAGTTTCTGCACATGGTTGATCGCGGGCGCTGCCTTTACATGTCTCGACGGATCCTTTGTATCGAAATTGTCAAAAGCATTTCCAAGATTCCGCCCATTACACTGAAAAGAAGATGGGGGGATGATTGATTTTGTAACGTTTTCCCGGAGTCAAAAGATTGCAAAAACGGAGGAGCAACCTAGCTGATTGCATTCCTAGGAGAATGAATCATGGATGACGATAATGAATTGCAGATAGTCGAACTTGTGGTGGGAACGGCAAAAGGGCTGAAGAATGCGAGAGAAGCGGTTGTGGTTATAGCTTGTCCGGCTGAAATCGTCGTGCCCATGGGCACCCACTCCTCATTGAAACTGAGGTGGGACGTACTTTGATGGATTTTGGTCAGTGTAAATAATGATGGAACGAATGTCATGTTTCAGAAATACTTTGATAGAATATGTATCGGCTGGCACGGATCTAGCTACATATCAAGCGTACGAGTTAGCTAAAAACCTTCTTCTCGTGAGTACTTTGCATCAATAAACACATTGCAGTTCAAAGAAAGAACATGCGGAAATGCATACCACATGCAACCACTAACTTTTGGGAAGGGGAAGGTACGAGCGTATCAAGTGGTCGAGGTTTTTCCGCACGTGTGACGAAAAACGCTCAGAGGTGGTGTGTGCCTTTGATTAGCCAAGGCAATGTGTCAGTCGCACTTTACCCTCCGTTTGTCGCTGCTTGAAGCCTGAATACCCGTTGCGAGCACCCATGTTTTTTGATCAGAGCGATATTCTGGAGAATTCTATTTGTCAAACTGACCAATGAACATTAAAAGACGTGTTTAGAAAGAAGAAAGCAAACATAAAAGTGTGATCATTATCTCAAATGGTCAAAGTACCACGTGCCGCAAACCTGGAGTTGAAGCAGGGGATGAGAAGAAAATTGCCGAAAAGGTAGGTTAGACAGAAGATTTCAAGTCAGGTAGTCATGAATCAGACAGCCCTAAACAAAGTAAATGCATTGCAATTTCGTATCACTAGTCTCAGTGAATCCTATTTAGTTATATTTCAGTGGCACGATGATGGCACACAGGTGATTTATCTCGGCATCGGAGAGCCCGTGAACAAAACGAATATGGAGACGATTGCGAATGGGACGGATAATGTGATAGGTATACCTGACATCACAGAGGTCAGCCTACTGTTTGTACTCAAGCAGCTTCACAAACCAATTACTGATATTCAGGAGAAAACTCCGGATGAAATCGGCAAAGAAGTGAATCGAACGCTCGAACTACTGACGCCACCACCTGAGAGCGATGAGTCAACTTCGGAGGGTCCTGATACTATGAAAAAGACCACAGCGGTCGGAGGGACTTCGGAGAGCAGAGCTGATAAAGGATCCCCTCGTACGACAACAGGCCAAGGAGTGACGTTCCCAGAAGAAGTTACGCCACCGCCTATAGGTGAACCGTTGGAGAAGGGAAAAAGTACCACGAAGGACGTCTCGGAAGGCGGAACTGATGAAGGATCCCAAGGTGGGACAACAGGCAAACGTGTGACGTTCCCAGGAGAAAGCACAGAAAGTGGCACCACCAAACCGTCGGAGAAAGGAGCCACGGAGGACGACAGCCGCAAACGTAGCACAACGAAGGAAGGACCAGAAATTGGAAAGACACCATTCCCCTTGCCGCCAGACACGACATCTGTGAGATCATTTCAAATTTGTCTTGACCTTGACTCAAAATTCTTCCGGAAACATCTGTTCCGAAGCGGAGGTTTTTAGGGATTTTCAGTTGCTAAATTTGCTCGATTTGATTTAGTAGGGTGGAGCATTACATGTCTATCATAGAGAACTGATTTCATGACAGAAAAACTGTAAATAGCGGGTACACAGAATTGTTGTTTCTAGGAAGGGACAAAGTCAGTTGTGTTCATTGTGGACGCTTCATCGCCTGCAGCGAAAGAAGGATGGAAGAACGTGAGTTTATTCAAACTCTTTCCAGAATAGCTCAAAGACAGCGCTCGCGATAGGCTGCACGGCTCGGAGTCATTAGATCATGTGGGAAGTGGAGTACTAATGAAGGAGGAACTCCCTCGGCGCTCATGTAAATAAGATATTTCTGTATACGGGAGGAGACTTTCTGGGGATACACGCTTCATTCATTTCGCAACTTGGGGTAATTTGTCGCTGGCGCCTATGGCGCACGCGCTACGCCGTTGCTTTACTAGCGCTCGCCATGTTCGTGATCCTTCATCAGGGTTAGTTAGTGTATTTTCCAGCGCTGTGTACACCCTTTGAAGTTCAATACAATGGATAAGGGTGAAGCAGGTTGAGTCAGAGCTAAGAATCAAACACTCGCCGAGCGCTATTAAAAGTGATGCCAAAAAGTGATTAAGGTGCAACTAGATTGCGAAGGTGGAGCTAGCTTATATAACCCGCGAAAGTGGGATATCCTCTGTGACTACAAACTCCACCATCTTGTGCACTGAAAAGTTTCTGCACATGGTTGATCGCGGGCGCTGCCTTTACATGTCTCGACGGATCCTTTGTATCGAAATTGTCAAAAGCATTTCCAAGATTCCGCCCATTACACTGAAAAGAAGATGGGGGGATGATTGATTTTGTAACGTTTTCCCGGAGTCAAAAGATTGCAAAAACGGAGGAGCAACCTAGCTGATTGCATTCCTAGGAGAATGAATCATGGATGACGATAATGAATTGCAGATAGTCGAACTTGTGGTGGGAACGGCAAAAGGGCTGAAGAATGCGAGAGAAGCGGTTGTGGTTATAGCTTGTCCGGCTGAAATCGTCGTGCCCATGGGCACCCACTCCTCATTGAAACTGAGGTGGGACGTACTTTGATGGATTTTGGTCAGTGTAAATAATGATGGAACGAATGTCATGTTTCAGAAATACTTTGATAGAATATGTATCGGCTGGCACGGATCTAGCTACATATCAAGCGTACGAGTTAGCTAAAAACCTTCTTCTCGTGAGTACTTTGCATCAATAAACACATTGCAGTTCAAAGAAAGAACATGCGGAAATGCATACCACATGCAACCACTAACTTTTGGGAAGGGGAAGGTACGAGCGTATCAAGTGGTCGAGGTTTTTCCGCACGTGTGACGAAAAACGCTCAGAGGTGGTGTGTGCCTTTGATTAGCCAAGGCAATGTGTCAGTCGCACTTTACCCTCCGTTTGTCGCTGCTTGAAGCCTGAATACCCGTTGCGAGCACCCATGTTTTTTGATCAGAGCGATATTCTGGAGAATTCTATTTGTCAAACTGACCAATGAACATTAAAAGACGTGTTTAGAAAGAAGAAAGCAAACATAAAAGTGTGATCATTATCTCAAATGGTCAAAGTACCACGTGCCGCAAACCTGGAGTTGAAGCAGGGGATGAGAAGAAAATTGCCGAAAAGGTAGGTTAGACAGAAGATTTCAAGTCAGGTAGTCATGAATCAGACAGCCCTAAACAAAGTAAATGCATTGCAATTTCGTATCACTAGTCTCAGTGAATCCTATTTAGTTATATTTCAGTGGCACGATGATGGCACACAGGTGATTTATCTCGGCATCGGAGAGCCCGTGAACAAAACGAATATGGAGACGATTGCGAATGGGACGGATAATGTGATAGGTATACCTGACATCACAGAGGTCAGCCTACTGTTTGTACTCAAGCAGCTTCACAAACCAATTACTGATATTCAGGAGAAAACTCCGGATGAAATCGGCAAAGAAGTGAATCGAACGCTCGAACTACTGACGCCACCACCTGAGAGCGATGAGTCAACTTCGGAGGGTCCTGATACTATGAAAAAGACCACAGCGGTCGGAGGGACTTCGGAGAGCAGAGCTGATAAAGGATCCCCTCGTACGACAACAGGCCAAGGAGTGACGTTCCCAGAAGAAGTTACGCCACCGCCTATAGGTGAACCGTTGGAGAAGGGAAAAAGTACCACGAAGGACGTCTCGGAAGGCGGAACTGATGAAGGATCCCAAGGTGGGACAACAGGCAAACGTGTGACGTTCCCAGGAGAAAGCACAGAAAGTGGCACCACCAAACCGTCGGAGAAAGGAGCCACGGAGGACGACAGCCGCAAACGTAGCACAACGAAGGAAGGACCAGAAATTGGAAAGACACCATTCCCCTTGCCGCCAGACACGACATCTGTGAGATCATTTCAAATTTGTCTTGACCTTGACTGGAAACTTTTCGAAAAATCACATCGAAAGTGGGGGTTTCCAGAAACTTTCACTTGCTCGATTTGCTCGATTAGTATCGGTGGGATATACCTTAACTTATCCCTAGCGCGCCGTCGCAGGGTCCGCTGTTCTTGTTAGACGTCGCCACTTGTTCCGATCCACTGCATCTTCTGCCGTGGCTTTCACTTCAGTGAGGTCCTTCTTGATGACGTCCCTCCATCTTTTCTTTGAAGCCCCTCGCAGTCGCTTGCCCTCTACTTTGAATTCCAATACCTTCCTTATTTGGTGGGCTACGGGTCTACTTAGTACGTGCCTATCCCATCGCAGTCGCTGTTCCCGTGGCTTCAGCTGGGATTGGAGCCGTCTTATTTCAGCTGGGTGGAGCTGCCTTTCATGGTTCTTGCATATGGGCCACCACTCACTGCCGTAAGGCATTGAAACCCTTACCATCGACCGGTGTACCTTGCCCTTGAATGTTCTCTAGCAGTGCCGCTCTCATAGGATGCCAGTGGACTTCCTCCATTTCAACCGGTCTGCGTTATTCGGGTTTCGCCGCCTGGTCCGCGCTGCCAATAGCTGCTAGGTCGCCCAGTACTAGAAATCCTCGACCCTTTCGACCATCTCCCCATGGCGGTCTACGATAAGATCAATACACATTCCGGAGCTCAGGAAGGTGTTCTTCACGTTAAGCCGGAGTTCATTCTCAGCGAGCACATCCTGCCACCGCTGCACCTTGTCCTAGAGTCTTCCCTGCTGTCCGCTATCAGGGCGATGTCGTCAGCGTACAGAATGGATTTCAGAAGTCCCCTCATAAGTTCTTGCAAGATGACCCCCATAGTCAGGAGGAAGAGGAACGAGCTGAGAGCTGGCTCCTGATGTACTCCAACCGTAATGTTTACCCCCTTTGTAAGGCTTTGCGGGGTGCGTACAGCCGTCTATGCCCCCCTGGTTAGCATCAAAGAGCGAGCAGTGCTATTACAAAAATGAAGCTCAAGCTCTGTCAAGTTGTGAGGAGTGCGTACAGCTGCTTTAGTACCATCGTACATGTCCTTCACTGTAAAGACCAGATGCTCTGGAACGTTATTTTCTTTATGAGCTCTTAGGAGTACAGGACGAGGCAGGTGGTTGATTAACTTCTTAAGGTCCAGGAAGGCTAGGTAGCAGGTCGCCGCTTCTCTCGGTAGCTCTTCATCACCTGTCTGACGGTGAAGCTAGCATCAGTGGTGGACCTCCAGGCATGAAGCAGAACTGTTTCTAAGGATGGGGACAAGTTCCTCCAGCCTTCTGTGTTGACCAGGCGCTCGTACAGCTTCATGGTATGGGGAGTCAACTTGATGCCGCGGTAGTTGGAGCACTCCGTCGCGTCCCCTTTCTGTCTCAAAATGGGACGATTGTGCTGCTCCTTGACGCACCCGGCATCCTTCCTTCAGCCTTTAGTCGTTAAGGAAGAGTGTGAGCCAACTCACCCCACTCCAAGGGCCTTCCATGCCTGTATCGGTACCCCCTCTGGACCCATAGCCTCCCCAACATTATTCGTTCCTATTTCTCGGCGGATCTCATCCACTGTCCAAGAAGTGATTGGACCTGCCGTCGCCCCTTGCGGTATTCGTTCAGGAGCTTCTTGAAGTATTCTTCTCACGTATTCCTGACTTCCGCTGGTTTCCTGAGAATGGCCCCGTTGCTGCTCTTCACGGCTTTTACTACCCTGATGTCCCGAGCAGCTCGATGTCGGGCTTTGGCCAGGTGGATGACGAATTTCCCTTCTCGACCCTCCAGTTTCTCGTACAAAACGTCCATTTTCGTATTTTTTGACCTAGCAACGGCTGCCTTCGCGAGTGGTCTGCAGCTCTTGTGACCAGCAGTCTTCTGAGCTGCTTGGCTTTCATCAGCTTTGTGTGCTTCCTTCTTCTGCCCTGCACTTCACCGTTACAGAAACCTGCCTTGCCTCCTCTAATCCCACCTCGCCTCTCTCCCGAGACTTCCTTCGCACACTGTAGGATGACCTCTGCTGCGTAGGTCCAGGTGTCCTGGACTGGCCCATGTGGGTCTGGGAGCCCAGCCTCCAGTATTCTTCGGCCGAGGCTGTTCTCCTCTGCCTTGCGCATTTTCAACCGCCGAATTCTCCAATAGGTTCTTACCCTCGTTTTCCTACTGTGCTGGGGCCCAGCTCTTCCTCAGGCAGTACTCTGATATCCTTGACGGTTTTGAGAGACGATCTTCTCACCAGGACATGGTCGATTTCCGTTTGTCTCCCTCCACTGCTGTAGGTTATCTTCTGAGTCCTCCTTTTCGCGAAGAAGGTGCTGCAGATTGCTAAGTCGTGGGCTGTGGCTAGGTCAAGGATCCGTCTCCTTTAGCGCTCCTAGCTCCTATTCCTCGACCTCCGTGCACCCTTTTAAGAGCCCTTATGTCACTTCAAACATGGCCATTCACCATTAACACTATAGTGTCTAGTCATCTTCCGAAACCGATCTTATGGCCTCGTCCAGGGTCAGGTGGAACCCATGCTTTTCCACCACGGAGCGACCGGATTGTGGTGCGTGCACGGTCAGTACCCCTCCTTCGTTCCGTTGTTACTCCCAATCCGTTCACCGATCCTCTTCATGGAGGAGACGCAGACCCTGAGGGATTCTGCCACCGCTATGGCCACGCCATCCCGCTTGGTTTCCCCTCCACTCTAAAAAAGTCTGACCTTTTCATAAAACTCGCGGTCCTTCGCACCCTTCCATCGCACTCTCTGAAGGCGTAGAACTTGGACATCCATGCATCTCGTCAGGTTAGCATTCCAACGAGACTTGCCGGTAAGTAATCCCTCTTCGGGGTCCCAATTCGAATTAGCTTATTTGGGCGAGCTCCTTCACCCTTTGGTAGCCCTCGCACAGTTACCACAGAACTCGGGAAAGGGTTCTGAACGCCACTTCCGTCACGCCCTAGCTTTAACAGTGATACTTTTGCGACTGGCATCGTCCCCGTTTCTGCAATTTTTGCGAGGCATCGTTTGTGCCATAGCAGGGATGAGTTCACACACTTAACCACTCGGCTGTCCCTGCCCTATCAGTAGGGTGAAGCATTATGTATGTTACAAACAGTTGGTTCAATGAACGTCAAACTACCGCGATGTCCACTGAGGCAGGTCCACTATACGTGGCGGACGGGCTTTTCTTATTGATTGTCGGTACAAAGAAATTTCCTTCTTCAGAATAAAACAAAATCAGTTGTCTTCATTGTGGACGCTTCATCGCCTGCTTTGGTAGCTGCATGGGAACAGGTGAGTCGCTCTGAGTAGATTTCTGTAAATGTATGAGTTTTGCAGACAAAGCTGTATGAGGCACTTCCGTATCATTTAGCACGCTTTACCTGCCACGCCGCCAAAATGAAGTTCTACAGACCAGTTCTTTCAAAATAGGACCAGTTTAGCTGACGCACACTAATGCGCGCCTGGTCATACCCACGGTTCTGACCACTGACAAAATTTCTGTACTGACCACTAAAACTTGGCCTAATTCCCACACCTTGGAATACGGCGCATTTCAACACATTTCTCCTTTTTGATGAACGTTTGCTTATGTCTATTGCTTATCGCATTTACGAAAACACCCACCATTCGCTGTAAATAGAGCGGCATAGCGGTTGAAAGAATTTTGGTGATAGCAATATCGAAACCTCAGTGAAAGCTCTTCACATCCTAGCGCAAACCTTGGGCGGCTTTCACGTGCCCGTCCGCTGGTGTCTCTCAGAGCGCGTTCAGACTTCGCGATCGCGCGATCGCTGTGATCACGCGATCCGATCGCGCTACTGTGGGTGAAATTACACCGGGAGGGGGTCATGTTCGTTCATGTTCAACTCAACTCAACAAACAACAACAAAGTTCTGGGGGAGTCGTACTGATATCACCATTTCTCACATCACGATGCTGTATCCTGCCTCCAATAGGCAGTTCCAAAAACGATATAAAAGTAAGTTCGACCTTTTTTTGATGTCTTTTAGGCCGTGTTCATATTCGCAATACTGACGATTTGCAGAAACCGTCGAAAGGAAAGGTTGTGTATAGACCTGGAGGATGGCAGAACAAACAAAGCAAACACATGTGACAAAAGTAAAGTGAATATCTGGAGGACTGGCAAAATCGGGGGAAGGGAGAGAAACAACATCACCCGCTGTTGAAAGTTCTGCGTGTCTTACTTTTGGCGTACGGCGGCGTGAGCCGCGCGATCCGACTGGTGTTCAATACTCCGCTTGAACGTACTCAGAGCAAAATTCAGTATAATAATTAGCATATTGTATATTTAGTACTATTTTACATAGGAAATAATAAATAACTCAAAGATATTTCGAAACGTTCCTTAAAATTAGGAGGGCGTTATGTACACAAAGGAAGAAAGAAGGAAAAGGAAAAAAAGAACAGGAACAATAAACATGAACGAACATGACCCCCTCCCGGTGTAATTTCACCCACAGTAGCGCGATCGCGCAATCCGGATCGCGCGATCACAGCGATCGCGCTCTTATCATTAATCACTGGCAAACATCTTTGGACTTTCACTTTTGGGTGGAATTCAAGAGTTTAGCGGCCGAATCAATTTCAAATGTATTGCTGGAAGGAAACAACTTGGTTCACTAAGTCTTTGCTCACTGATTTGGATGCTTCCTCTCTGACCCACGGTTCCCATGCTGCATCCTGGATCAAGCTTGCGACCAACGTCCTACCGTTGGTGCGACGCGCGTTACGAATAGGTGATCCGTCCCTTCCAAGACTCTCTACTGTACCATATCACCACTTCGGGCAACCCAACAATAATATTCCCTTCCTATGCCTGTCTTCCTTTCCGGACCCAATGTTCTAGAGTTGCTGTGGCCCCCGCTATGAATTTGTGATCCCCTTCTCAGCCCGCTATCTATCCGGCATCTTATCGACTTTTCAATCCCTGCCCCCCACCAATAATGTTCCCATTCTGCCCGCTCATACATTCTGGAACCAACGTTCTACCGTTTCTGTGAGTGCTATGAAGTTGGTGATCCTCGCTTTCTAATCCCGCTACGGTATCTTATCAGCCGTATCAATTCCCCTTCCGCCAATAATGTTCCCATCCTGTCCCCCTCCTTTTTGGAACTGACGGTCTACAGTTGCTGTGGCGCACGCTATGAACTTGGTAACGGCCCTCTTCTGAGGGCTGCTCCCCCATCTTATCGGCTGCTATCACTTCCTGCCGCTCACCACTATTGTTCCCATCCTGCCCCCAATATCACTTTCTGGAACCAACGCTTCACCGCTGCTGTGACGCACCTTATGAACTTGGTAGCACTCCCCTTCCAAGGACCACTATCGTATCTTGTGAGCTGTTATCACCCCCTAACTCCCATCACTAGGGTTTCAGTCCCACCTACATCACTTATCAATTTGAACTCTCTGCGGTCGATTTGAAAGAAGTTATGAATTGGTCAAACACACATACAAGCATAAATACACACACTCACACCAACAGACAATTTTCGCGGATTATATACAGGGGGGGGGCAAAAAAAGTCACTTTTCTTCCTTGACCTTCGAGGCGTTATAAGTTACACTTTATTAAATTCTGATCGGACAATTCTACCACCATAATCAACAGCATATTAAATACTATCATGACACTCCGCCACAGCCTTCTGGAGGAGCGCCGTCGAGAGATTCTGCCACGCAACCGTGATTCGGTACCTGGCTTCAGCGAGATAGTTGATTTCTCGGCCACTGCAGACCACCTTGTTGAGCCCGAACTCGGTAATTGAGAGAGTTTAGGTCAGGGGACATACTTGAATATTCCATCTTCTTCAGGTACTCAACGCCCTTCCATTCCAAGTAGGCGAGAGTTTTCCAACGCCCTTCGATTCCATGTGGCACCCAACTCTGTGGCAGTACAAAGTTTCTAAGAAGGTAACATGTGGGGAGGATATTCTTCTCAGGAACATTATTGGTGGGTGGCAGGGAGTGATAACAGCTGATAAGATACCATAAGGAGCCTCAGAAAGAGTGGGTTACCTAATTCATAACACCGGCCAGAGCAACGACCGGACGTTGGATCCAAGTAGTAAGATAGGGGCAGGATGGGAACATTATTGGTGGGTGGCAGGGAGTGATAACAGCTGATAAGATAAAAAGGATAAAGGATAAAGTTTTCGCCGTTGATCCTCTGTGGGATGCGGCACGCATTCTACTTCCATTCAGAATCGTAGTGGCTTATTGAATGGTGTGGCCTATACAATGACTTGCGGTGGCCAGCCGATGTACAAGTCAGTGTTTTATCCTCCCAGACGAATCTTACTTACCGTAAGGTAGAGGGCTTGGTTGGCCTGGGCAGGTGTCGACCCGGGATTCGAACCCGGCGCCGCGCGAGTGGTAAGCG